TGCTCAGATTTGGGTGCACGTTAAAGAACCCCAGGTGGTCAAAATTTCCGGAGCCCTCCACTACGGCGTCTCTCATAATCGTATGGTGGTTTTGGGACGTTAAACCCCACATATCAATCAATCAATCGTTCTGTTCTCGCGCTATAACTATCGTCAGGGTTAACCTTCCTGCATTCTCTCTTACAGTTTCTTCCTACCCAGTTTCTGTTGTCATTTTTTTTCCCTGTCACTTTGGAGCATATCCTTTTTTTTATCCGTGTATCCCACTGTTCTTATCACCCTTTTGAGCGTATCAACCGGCACCCAAGTGGCCACTTGCAACTTGGGACCGGTAAAGCTCGCAAAGTGCCGCTCGAAATAACAGGCATATCTATCGGCCGGCCCTTTGTTTGCCCCGTCAGCCGCGGCCGTCAATATTGACCCACGCTTGGTCTCGCTACCGCGACGGGCCTGTCCTGGGTGGCTGAACTGGCCGGAAGTAAACAATTCCGTCTCTTTACGCAGCAGAAAAAATGCTACTTGCGTCAAGAGCGGCTATTCAACGCTAATTCGTTGCCCCCGTGGGAACCAGACAGTGAAGGGTCACTGGCGCTGATGTATAGGGTTCGGGATAACGTGCTTTTAGCTCTCTTTGAAGAACCCCCAAGATGAGATTGATCTTTAGTCTGAGTCTATTCCTACTCGAAGAAAACTACAGTAACCACGTGCACATTTACACGGATGGCTCTACTACGCCGTCTAGTTCAGGTGGAGCAGTGGTTATACCATCACAAGGGATAACTCGGTGTTTTAAGACTTCACATGTGACAAGTTCAACGACGGCAGAACTCGAGGCTCTGCGCAATGCACTGGAACACATCAATTCAGAAGAAAGACCAGGTAAATGGGCTGTGTTTTCTGACTCAAAACCAGCGTTACAGTGCCTGATATCAGTTCTCCGACGCGGATGCCACGACCAGTTGACCTACCAAACCGTGAAACTTCACCACCTGTTAATACAAAGAGGCCATGACATCGTATTTCAGTGGTTACCTGGGCATAGTGGTATAGGCGGCAATGATTCTGCAGATCATGCTGCTCGCACGTCACATAAAGAAGCGAACAGTGTTCCGATACCGCTTTCAAGAGCGGATGCGGCGAGGCAGATTCGTCAACTGGCCCGCAGTCTCACACTGACTGAGTGGAACACACCAAGCATACGACGTACACGACTGCACGAGCTCGACCCTTTACTACAACTCCGGCCTCCACCCGGCCTACATCGACGTGAAGCTTCGCTTCTCTATCGCCTTTGGCTGGGAGTTGCTTTCACGAAAGCTTATACCACTTTAATCAGAATTACTGACAGTGCGGCGTGCGATGTTTGCGGCACCGACGAAAATATCGAAAACCTGCTGTGTCATTGTCCTCGATTTGCCTCAGAGAGACAAGTACTTGCCAACGCAATGCGGCGACTGGATGATCGGCCTCTTTCTGTGCAGGTGCTATTACAGCAACGTACACATGCCTCGACAGCCCACAAGGCAGTGAAAGCCCTGCTGCGTTTCCTGAGAAAGACAGGCTTGTGTGAACGCCTCTGACATGTGGTAGAGTTCTACACGCTGCAGTGAAATTACTGTCAGTCTCTCCCCCACCCCCTCTTTTCCCTCTCTTCCCTCTTTCTCGTCTTTCTTGTCCCCTTCCTTTATCCCCCAGTGTAGGGTAGCCAACCGGATGTCTTTCTGGTTAACCTCCCTGCCTTCTCCCTTTTTGTTGCTTCCTCCTCCTCCTGTCGTGTTAGTAAGTTAGTCTTTCAAGATTCCTAGATCACCACGCTTGCCTCGAGCAGATGCCTGGTAAGCGAGAAAGTGTGAAACAAAAAATTCTAGCAACGACACCGCCTTCAAGTGCCTGCACCACTAAAATCATTAAGGTCCTATAGTTACCCTTATGCCTACAAGGGCCTAGTTACCTCTGATTAGGCACCCGTATGTTGCCCCTAATAAATGCACCTGTATTCTTCCTTGTGTATACGTTCCGCAGGCATCCAATCTTTCTCGATTTTTCGGTGAGTCAAAGGTGATGAAGTTTTGCTCACAACCTCTTACGCCGTAAATTCTGCGAAGGGAGCTCTTTAACGCCATCGCGTTTAAACTCGGCGACGGCCAGATACCGATATGCTGCCCTTTAAGTTGCGACGGTGACATGCTTATCTGTTTTCACCGTTTACCAATAACCGATGCTCTCTCGATTGTGGGCTTGTCGGTGATCTGCCGTTTCTGACATGGTAGTGTGATCTTTTGTATAGTCTACTTGTCATTCGCGTTACCGAATTTAATTGTCGCCAGGATAAGAACGAATGACCTCACGTTCCGGCGACGGGCGTGGCGTAAGCGCGTGGAGTGAGGGCGCGCCTACGCAGTTGTAACTGTGCCATATAATTCCACGTTCTGGCGCCGGAACGTTAGTCATTTGGCACGGTTCCAACTGCGTAGGCGCGCCCTCACGCCACGCCCACACGCCACGCCCGTGACCAATCAGAGCCATTTTGTTTCCACCGTGGGGGAAATAAATAAATAAATAAATAAATAAGATTTGAGGGCACGTCAGTGAACCCCAGGTGGTCAAAATTTCCGGAGCCCTCTACTACGGCGTCTCTCATAATCATATGGCTGTGTTAGGACGTCCAATTTTACTTATCAAATGGTTAAATAAATAAATAAATAAATAAATAAATAAATAAATAAATAAATAAATGAAAAGTATGTTGGGTTCTCACATCCTAAGTAAATCTTGCTTTCATTTTGCTTATATATAGGGAACGTCTCCTGAATGTTTTTTTCCCCTCTGCAAAGGCTCTGAATCAGAGCCAGTGTTCCGTAGTTGTTACCTCTTGAAGAACGCGCGTTCAATACCTTCCGTTTACTTTTGTTGAATCAGCCGTGTGAATGGCGAGATTTTCATAAAAGCATCCGTTGCTGGCGCTGCCTAAATGATGAACCCACGTGAGTGGCTCGCCACAGATGCAGGCGCGCTTGCATCGTTTCACATTGGAAATCATTGCAGGCTTCGACATTATTTGCAGCACAGCAAGGAAGTTCATTGGCCGTGGCAATGCGATACTTTCGTCTGATCCATAGTACAGAGATGGCACTGAGGCAGGATAGAAGAAAAACAAAACAAATAACAAAGCAAGAACGACTCAGCGTGTCCAACACCTGTCCGCTTCCCTGGGCTGCTATTTTGAACAGCGGCAGCTGCGCTGCTATCAGTCCCTCGCTGCACACCCTTATATTTCCCATCAGTCTCTGGGGGTCGCAGATAACGAACAACAGCTGGGATAACATTAGCTACCAAGCGCTGACTTCTATGCATGTCGCGGGGATATTTACTTACCCGGGCGTCTGTGTAGGGCTTTTTGTAGAGATGGCGCGCTGCGTTGCGCGCCCGCCATCTCGGAGGCCATCATACAACGAGCTAACGTAGGGAACACACATTAGTTCGTTATATCCGATATTCGTTGTAACAGTAGATACAGAAATCGGCGCTAACGAATCGGCACTTTGACTGGCGCGTAAGTTGTAGGTGGCGCTGGGTACGGTGGTGGTTTATCGTGCCAGTAGCTGCTCCCGCGTGAACACTACAGTAGTTGCTTTCGTTACGTCACGGTTTACGAGACTGATGACGTATGGTCGCCCTCTTTCAACTTTATTGCTCAGCCTGCTCGCACAGACTCCGCGTTCGTTCTCACCGTTCTCTATAAATCCGCTCTTCCGGGATTGTGTCGTCAATCCGTGTGTGCTGACGTCAACACAAATAATGTGTCAAGTTCGCAGTATCACTGATTGTTGAGTGTGCGGTAAATGACGAGCCGAGGCAGTTTGTAGGCAATAAAACATCCACTTCACCTGAGTTGAGCACCCAAATTACTACCGCAATATATAATATATATATATATATATATATATATATATATATATATATATATATATATATATATATATATATATATATATTCTAGTAGATCCTCCGTGAGCGGTCACAACGTGGTTTATTTCGACGTTTCGGCCTAGAGTCTGGCCTTCATATATATATATATATATATATATATATATATATATATATATATATATATATATATATATATATATATATATATATATATATATATATATATATATATATAGTACGATGTAAGAGACACCAATGTAAGTGTAAGAGACACACTTTAATGGGCACGCACGAGAGACACCAGTGTGCGTACATTGAAATAAATGCCGAGAAGGAAACACATACCTGTTGCTTCTAAGGAACACCTCATAAAAAAAAAGGCGATAGGTGTACATTTCTCTAATGAAGAGGTTCGACTGTACATCTGTATACATAAATTGTGCGTGATTCCCTGCTGGACTCTTACCTAGCTGAAAATAATAATAATGTGCTGCACTCAATACAACGACAACAAGAAGAAAGTAAAGTGGCGGTTGTAGGAAACGTGGCGCAATGCACAGATCTACAGTCTAACCTGCACTTTGCGTAAATCTCTCATGTGGGAACCGGCGAGGTACCTCTATGGTTTGCGTTGCGTGCGTTATGCACCGCTCTGGCGGCACTGAACGCGCAGCTTGGGTGCATAGCTGCGACAGCTGCGGCAGCGGGGTGACAATACCGGCGGATTCATCGCGCGAACTGGCCGCCGGCCTTGAGCCATTGATAGCGCGTGGAAGTGCTATGCGTCATCTCGCCTTGCGCAGGACACACAGAGAACGCGCAGGTCACGTGAGGTTGAGGGAAAAAACTGCAGGTTCTGCTGCTGCAGTGCTGGCATGAAAACAGACGTTCCGAGTGGTGGAGGCTGAGGGCTTTGTTTTCTGTTTTGGCGTTCTTCGTCCGCCGGCACATGTTCTCCGAGTGGGCGGGGCATGGCGACGTCACTGTACACGTCAGCGCCCCCGCATGGCCAGCACCTCGCGGACGCACGAAACACACCTCTCCGTAAAACTGCTGTCGTCGGTGACGGTGCGCCATGAGTCGACTATACGGCGATAGCGTATACGTGCTCTCGAAGGCGTTCTGTCGTCGAGACTGATCCCTGGCGTGATGCTCCGTGTTCTGGTGTTCGCGAAACGCGTGGAACGTGGCGAGTAGTTTTGTTAGTCGCAGTGGACGACACTATAGAGGATCGTGGACATCTCGAAACTGAAAGAACCGAGTGGACAAGTTGGATATATACCGCGTCTATTGTGATAGAGTGGGCCACTGATCGCCGGCAGTGGCCTTACCTATAGCTGACCCCTTGGACCAAGATTGTTGGTACTTTCGTCAGCCGATTCGTACGTATGACGCTCCCTTACCTTACCGCTCCCTTCTCCTGATCTGCACATGCCCCGCCGCGGTGGTCTAGTGGCTAAGGTACTCGGCTGCTGACCCGCAGCTCGCGGGTTCAAATCCCGGCTGCGGCGGCTGCATTTCCGATGGAGGCGGAAATGTTGTAGGCCCGTGTGCTCAGATTTGGGTGCACGTTAAAGAACCCCAGGTGGTCAAAATTTCCGGAGTCCTCCACTACGGCGTCTCTCATAATCATATAGTGGTTTTGGGACGTTAAACCCCACAAATCAATCAATCAATCAATCCTGATCTGCACATGTTTCTTCTACACGTCCTATTAGAACGTACATTGAAAATTTCATTACTCGAAGTCCTAGTACATCGTGCGTGGAACAATCGTACTTGCAACATGGTTCTGTGTTTTTGAAAGAGCTGGACGTTCACAAGATCTGCCATTGGTAATGACATTCTCAGCGACTTCGTTTAAGGTGTGTTCGCTTAGTGACTAGACTGGTGCACGCTTATGGGAAATGCTATGTGAGGCCTAGCCTAAATCAGTAACTTGGAAGGTGATCTGATTCTAGGTCACAGCGCCCGCCTCTCGACAGAGCCAAGATTTAGGTACACGTGCACGTTCAAAAAAACCATAGCTGGACATTATGAATGCGGTGTCCCTCAGTACCGCCCATTTCATAATCAGTTTATAATTTATCAGTTTTTAAACTTGCGTTTGGATGAAAGTACACCAAATCCAATATCAGGTGTGGCTTAAAAGAATAGCATCTCGAATGAAAGTTCCGTCATTTCACAGTGAGTGACGGGATGTTAATTTGGTATGGGGGCGATTGTCATATATTACGCATCAAATTAAAGTGAATGATATAGCGCACAATCGCTAGAGGTTTAAGCCTTAGCTATGCAAATAAAAAAAAAGGTAGGGGGGACCCTACCTTTAAGAGTTGAACGCAATAGCGACATTCTGTTCCTAGTGCGTACGGCATACACTTTTATTAGTGCATGAAATCTTTTCGAACTTGCTACGCACCCACAGTGTGGCATAAAGGGTGCAGTAGAGGGTGTCACTTTTGTAGTGGGTGACTGACTTTACACGATAAAGTCGTTATGATGATCCCAACTCCTGACTCCCGATGGCGATGTAGGCTTGTACCACGCACTATTACGGCAATATTTCATGTCGTACTGTAAAGCATGTATACAGGACCCGCGTGTATGGCAAAACACGAAAGTCAGTCTCACTGCATTTCCAAGCACTGGAAGTTATTTTCACAGTATTTACAAGCAGAGGTGTGGCTGTATGGAAAGTGTTATTTAAACGTGGGCACACCACCTCTGCTTCGTGACTGTATTTTAAATACAATTAACGTAAGGTACGCTAGCGGCGTTTCTCGATGTAGTAAGAACAAATGATTGTGTTCCTTCATGGTTAGAAAGGGTAAAAGCCCTGCTCACTACGAAGGAATTGTAAGGTAGGATGTACTTAAGCAATGTTTGATTGATATGTGGGGTTTAACGTCCCAAAACCACCATTACGAGAGATGCCGTAGTGGAAGGGCTCCGGAAATTTTGACCACCTGGGGTTCTTTAACGTGCAACCAAATCTGAGCACACAGGCCTACGAAATTTCCGCCTGCATCGGAAATGCAGCCGTCGCAGCCGGGATTCGATCCCGCGACCTGTGGATGAGCAGCCGAGTAACTTAGCCACTAGACCACCGCGGCGGGGCTTAAGCAGTGCTGGACGGGTGTAGTAATTGTTCGGTCATGCATTTATTGTGTATAGTAATATATTTACCTCGTCATCCCGTCTGCGAAGTTTAACCGGAAGTTAAAAAAAGTGTGGCTGTGTAGTAGAACACCCGCTTTCCACGCAAGCGACCCGGGTTAGAACCACAGGAAGACCCGAATTTTTTATTATTTACTTTATTTGCATCTTTCTCGATTTTTTCGCTCACGCACAGATGACTGATTTTTCGCTCACAACCAACGACGCCGACGCCGGAATTTCTGTGAAACCAGCTCTAACGCTATCGCGTTAAAAATTATAACAGATGACCGATAAATGTACCAGGAGAGGTAATAAGATAAATTAAGCCGAGCGAATACCTGTAAAATCAGTTGAACTTACGAAAGCGGGAAATTTGTGGCTATTCATCCAATTAACGTAAGGTACGGAAACAGATATTTAGGGCGGGCCTTTACCTCTTGCCGTATGATGTATTAAGTAAGGTGGTAAACTCTGAATGAGCTTTGGCAAGTCTCTACTCCGGCAGTGAACTGGTTGACCGGTTATTATTGGTTACAATCATTAATCATTTACAATGTTTGGATCGTTTAATTCTTGTCCGATGAGCACTTGAATTGTTGCAATATCGAATGCGATCATTACATGCATACCTAATTACAATAGTAAACAGAGAACCGTGACACGTTCATTATTTTGCAAGAAGTGCCAAATATTACCATTCAGGTCATCTTCAATCCAGAGGTCGCTATAGCGGCCTTATTAGCGTGCGATTTCGTTAGCCAGGCTGTGACAGCGAGTGGTTTTCGTTGTTGATTTCGATGCAGCAGGGTTCTTGGCGTGACGTCAAGTGTCTGACGTCACACGCTCGAAAGGGCGTTACAGCCAGCTTCCTAATTATGCAGTCTCCGAAATGAGTGACATTTCGAATTGGTTCTCTCTTTCTCTCTTTTTTTTTCGTCCTGTGCACCTGCACGGCGTTCTCGCATACTTCTGCGAGCCGACGTCGTCAGAGCACCTGCGTGTACTTGTATACGATGCGTGTCTGTGACGATATTGCCGATGTGCATCGATACACTATAAGTTCGTCATCTTTGCACTGCTGTTTACTCGCGTGGATACAAATGTCAAGCGTTGGTAGAGCGAACAACAACAGCAACAACAGCAACAACAGCGACAACAACAACAGCAGCAGCAACAACAACAACAACATCAAGAACAACAACAACAACAGCAACAAGAACAACAACAACAACAACAACAACAACAACAACAACAACAACAACAACAACAACAACAACAACAACAACAACAACAACAACAACAACAACAGCGACAACAACAACAACAACAACAACAGCAACAACAACAACAACACAACAACAACAACAACAACAACAACAACAACAACAACAACGCAAATCGTTAGGTTGCTACAACAGAATGTGTTCTCAGTCCTTTCAGAAGTGCTCGGTTCGCGCAAAGTTACGCCAAACATTCATACCGCTGGCGTAGCGAATGGGAGAGGGGTCTTAGGGGGGTTCAACTCTCCCCCTTCCGATAATTTTGTAGTTATCACGTGCGTATATATGCATAAACGTGTACTAACACGTGCACGGCCCCGCCGCGGTGGTCTAGTGGCTAAGGTACTCGGCTGCTGACCCGCAGTTCGCGGGATCGAATCCCGGCTGCGGCGGCTGCATTTCCGATGGAGGCGGAAATGTTGTAGGTCCGTGTGCTCAGATTTGGGCGCACGTTAAAGAACACCGCAGGTGGTCGAAATTTCCGGAGCCCTCCACTACGGCGTCTCTCATAATCGTATGGTGGTTTTGGGACGTTAAAACCCCACAAATCAATCAATCAATCAATCAAACTAACACGTGCACGAACTTACATAACGGTTATTCGCGATGTACTCGTTATGGTTCTTGAGTGCTGCAGCAAAGATTGCGAGATCGAATCCCGGTCTCGGCGGCTGCATTTCGACGAAGCCGAAATTTTGTAAGCCCCTGTACTTAGATTTAGGTGCACGTTAAAAAACACAAGATGGTCAAAAGTTCCGGAGACCTCCACCATACTCTATGCCTCCACTACGGCGTCCATCATATGGTATTTTCAGAGCGTAAAACACCAACAATCATTATACGTAATGGCTTATGACTTGTCCTGCTCTCCCCCTCCTCGGAAAGCAATTCTCGCCAGGCCCGCGATTCAAACTAAGCCATTAAAGAGTCCCAGAAAACACTGATCGCACCTCGCAAAGTTCTCAAAATAGAACGCAAGCGTGAACACGTCACAACATTGTCAGCGTATGACTACTTCACCATGTATTGTCGCTTTTTGTGTGGCACTGGGGCTGAAGCTGGTATTTCCTCACAAAGCTTTTGCCAGTAGGCCGATTGATAAGTATTATGAAGGGAAATTTTTAAAATTGTGTTGGTAGTAACATGTGTATGAGAGAGAACTAACTACGAGAATGGCGATAGAGTGCAGCACATTCGGCAAGAATTCTGAAATCATGAATGGTAGTTATTCTTCAAGAGGAAGGTATATAACAGCGGCACCTTGTAGAGAACGCAATCAGTGATGGAAAGCAAAATGACAGATGTAACCTTAGGAGACAGGAAGAGAACAATGTGGGTCAGGGGACAAACGACAGTCAAGGATATCGCAGTTTAAATCAACACTAAATGGACATGGGCCGGGCACCTAGCGCGTAGGCAACAAACCGCTCGGCAATTAGGGTAACTGACTGAATTCCAAGAGAAGGCGAACGCGTGAGAGGGAGACAGAAAACTAGCTGGACAGATGAGATCCAGAAGTATGTGGGTATAACATGGCAGCAGCAAGCGCTGGAACAGGTTGATTGGCGGAACGTTGGAGAGGTTTTTGCAGTGCAGTGGCCGAAGTGAAGCTGTGATGGCGGTAACATGACATGTAAACAAATGTTGAAGTGTGTCTTTTTGGTGAGTGATTCTCACTCAGACGTGCAGCGACTTTCGCTTAGTCTTATAGTTGACTAAAGGAAGTCACAGTATCGCTGCAAGAGTGAATCTAGAAATCGAAATGGTATACTATAGGTAAATCTAGCTAACTCCCTTACGAGTCGATATCGAGTAACTTCGCAAAACGCTGGCCTAAAGGAATACGACAGATTCGCTGAGCGAAGCTGTTTGTTGTGCTGTCTGTCATCTGAACGCGCCCTTCTGATCGAATTCGGCACCTACTTACTGCCCGAGCGACGCAGCCCTCCCCCTCTGCACTGGCATCCTTTCACGCTCAACCGCTCGACGGCGCCTGCCTGTGCGTCTCATCTATTCATGGGCCACGCCCGTCCGCAGCCTTTGTAAGCTTTCGCTCGCACTCGCGCATAGAACACATGACGCGCACGTAGTGTTGTTATCGATTTTTGCTTTGTACCGAACAAGACGGCGAAAATATGCCTCTAGTGTCGGTATAATGACTATAGCAATAGCTACCCGAAATATTGCTGCGTAGCTGACGTATCAACGATCAGACGTTCTGCGCCAAGGAGACGAGTGGTCACGGCATTGGTGCAGTTTTGGCGCAAACTCATCGTGTGATTGCGTTCGGATTTCGAAAGGAGACGACTTGAATACGCAATTACACTATCATTGCACCACTGAGTTAGCGCCAAAACCGAACCAACGCCGTGACCACTCGTCTTTTTTGCGCTGCTGATCGTTGACGCGTCATCTACGTAGCGTTGCTTCTCTGGTTTTGCAAGAAAGGGACGGCGTCGGTGACTGAATACTTAAGGGCCCTTCGACGCGCTTCCCGCACAACCGCAACGAATGTGCCGGCACACCTGCCGCACCCAAGCGGAGGGTGAAAGAGCGTCGCCAATCGGCTCATTTGTCCCCCGCTTGCCTGCGGCAGGGGTCCCGGCACGTGCGTTGCGGCTGTGCGGGAAGCGCGTGGAAGGGCCCTAAGACCTGACCACAACCACACGTACGCGTCGCAGCGTGTTGGAGCGCGGAGATGTGCCCTCTCCCTATTGAGAGAGAGCTAGAGGGTGCGTGGCTACGCAATGCTGTGCTCCCTTCTCTGTCTATGAGAGGAGGTGGCGGTGCCGCGTCAAAAAGCCAAACGCTGACAAACTACAACGCGCACGTGAGGTCGGGCCTTTACGTGAAATAGAGAAGGATAGAAAAAAAAGAAGGAAGCTCATTTTTGGCGTGAGCCTCCAAAAGGCGGCCAATAGGCCAATAGCGTTGGAACATCTGCCGGACGCGGAGCCGTGACCTACATTTCTAACGCTACACGAAAAAAAAAAAAATCCTATGCTGCCTCTACATAAGCCCGCTGCGTACCGCATGCCATGGTCACCGGCAGTCTTGACAACTCGTCCCGAAAACCAGCTGCTGCGCTCTTTGTTAAAACGGTTGTTAACTTTTCAACTTTTGAACTAGTGTAAGCGATGTTCGCTGTTTCTAATTATAGCAAGATTTCTATTTACGTACACAGAAGGTTGAAAGTCATCAAAATGAACGGGATGGTGCACACAAATTTCGCTCATTGAGGCAGCTGCTTGAATAGTAACAGCTCAGTCTTGAATGTGTGCATATCAAGTGCTGATGGAAGCATGTATGTATGCATGCGTGTATGTATGTATGTATGTATGTATGTATGTATGTATGTATGTATGTATGTATGTATGTATGTATGTATGTATGTATGTATGTATGTAGACCAGCCATGGTGGTTTATTGGTTATGATGCTCGACTGGTGATTCGAACTTAGATTGAATTCTAACCCCGACGGCCACTTTTCATTGGAGGTCTAATGCTGGAGGCCGCTGTACTTAGATTTCTGTGCGTGTTAAAGAGCCCCAGGAGGTCGAAACTTCCGGATCCTCCCACTTGCGGTGTTTTTCATGATCATACTATTGTTACGGGTCGTGAAACTCTAGCAGCTATTATTCAGTCAGATGCAGCTTACCAATAAACCAGAACAACGCCCATTATAATTCATACTTGTGTATTGAAAAAGTAAATCCGTAAGCCAATGAAACGAATGCTTCTTTCGTTCTTTTCATCCACAGTTGAATGACAACCAGGTTGAAGGACGGTAGGCCACAGACTCCGGGGGCCGAAAGGTTTGCGTGTGCGCGTGTTCGACTTCAGCCGGTCACTGTTTAATAAGATAAGCTCCACAGAAGATGGATTTATCCTGACCCCCGCTGGGACCTGCTGAAGGGAAAAGGATAGCCTCAGAAGTTAAGGCCCTGGCGTCTAAAGCCGGAACGGCCAAGCCGCTATCCACGGAAAGCGTGCCGCCGCCGTTGCCGAACAGCTCCGCAGCCGGAACCGGAACCGCAAGTGACCCAATGGCCACGCTTCAGCTGGAACAGCTGTTCCGCGCGTGCGACACCCGCGGTACGGGGTACCTGGACCGCGAAGAGCTCCGCAAGCTTTGCCACCGGTTCAGCATCAGCAGTCAGGACGCGGACGCCATATTCGAGGACCTGGATCACGACGAAGACGGCCGCATAGACTTCCACGACTTCGAGAAAGGATTTCGCGACTTCCTCACCCAGCTGCCGGGAGGCGACACGCCGCCGGAACCGGAAACGGCGGACGCCGCTGGTGGCGGCGGCGGCAACGCCTCCGGAGCCAACGCGAGTGCTCCGAGACCGTCGGAACTGCAGAAGGCGTTGCGAAGGGCCTCCACCATCGAGTATCGCAGGGACTCCGTGATCAACGGTGGTGACGACATTGCCAAGCTGTGGAACACGCAGCGCGCCTGGGGCAACCTGACCACCGAGCTTGCCAAGTCTGGGAACGTCATCGAGTGAGTGTTGTTGCGGCCATTCATGATTCTTGTGCATGGTTCTCCAGGAATGAGTTCATAGTCTATTATAACCTGAAATCAAAATGTCGGCTCCGCTCATAGCTATCGCTTTAGCCCCTGTCCCCCCTCTCTTACAGAGAACTTGCTTTTTCTTTCTTTATTAGCTGTGGACATACAATATTCGCAAATAAATACACATAGAACAAAGTACAAGCATGGACAAAAGAGTAGAGGTTAAAGGCGTCAAAGATCACAGGCCTTTTTAAAATTCCTTCATCTGTAGAAGGCTTTATACTTGATGAAACCATTCGGACACATCTTGAAGAACCTCGTGATTCCACGAATGAACAGATAGGTAACTTTCCATCCGCGCTTACTCACGTTGGTGACGACAATCACTTCTCGAGTGATTCATCAGACAGTTGACTTGCCCACACAAACATACCGTTGTGTGGCTGGCTTTAGACCGAGAATAATTTTAGTCAGAGATTGTGACGTCGTTGTTCAATCAGACGTAACGTTTTAGCTAATAAAGCCGAATCTTGAGCTATCAGTAGGCGTAATATTTGCATAACCCGAGAAAAAGCACTTTTGGTTTGAGCGAAAACCAACTGGTGCCACTCCCATGCGGGTGAAAGAGGCACGCCGTGGTTCTGTGGGCGGACTGACTGGTTAACTTTATTTGGTCCTGAGGAGGATTAATTTGTAATCAGGTTGTAACCAATGTTTAAAACCAAGTTCTCGGTCTCTACCTAAGAATAAATCGAAGCTCCACCCCCAGCAGGATGACTCGCCTATCGATCAACACGAGAGTCGGGCTAACTGGTTTCCTTTTTAAGAACCATGTATTTTGTCGGAGCTAATGTTAAGAGGACAAGTACTATAGGTATAGATCGTCGTCCCCACATAAAATATTGCCTTTCACTGAACAGTGTTGTCCGAATTTTCACTAGAACCGCGCAGAAAGTTCATGACCAGAAACTAACGACACGACACGAACACGTGTTCATATGGGAAGGTTTTTACACTTTGACGCCATGGAAATGCCCAGACTTGGTTGCACAGTCTATCCTTGCAAATATTCTCTTGGTGGCACATCACCTGCGGAGGGCAAAGTCTGCGTCTATATTTAGGTTGTGGCCGACTGTGGGTGACTTGATGGTCATAACGCTGGACTTGTGCGACACAAATTGCAATCAACTGAATATAAACCGCTGTGGGCTCGGAAATATTTATGGAAATGCAGTTTTTCCAAGCGGCCCTTTGCGCAAGCAAGGTACGACAGAACAATGGTGCATGCTACCTGCGCACTGCTCGCTTCTGTTAGCGGGAGTGTAACAGCCTGTCAGAAAAATCGCAAAGGCCACAGGTTTCGCCTGCGGTGTGCACAAACACCTGTGCGATGAAGCTGTAGGGTGAGTAGCTTTACTCTGCCAGCTACAAGGAAGGCCCAGTCTCGATTGCGGACAAGCTGCGCGGCGGGCATGTCGTGATTGCGACGCAACTTCTTGTTACGTGTAGGCGACAAGCGCGGCTGAGTTCACTTTGTGCGTCATGTGAGTACGCAGCCGCTTGTGGGCACCTACTTACACGTGCGTTTGCTTATCTATCTATCTATCTATCTATCTATCTATCTATCTATCTATCTATCTATCTATCTATCTATCTATCTATCTATCTATCTATCTATCTATCTATCTATCTATCTATCTATCTATCTATCTATCTATCTACCTATCTACCTATCTATCTATCTATCTATCTATCTATCTATCTATCTATCTATCTATCTATCTATCTATCTATCTATCTATCTATCTATCTATCTATCGATCTATCTATCGATCAATATATCTATCTATCGATCAATATATCTATCTATCTGTCGATCAATATATCGATCAATATATCGATCTGTCTATTAATCTATCTGTATGTCCGTCCGTCCGTCCGCCTGCCTACGACATTTAGCTCTCCTGGCCATCTCGATATTGTCGATAATCGAATCTGTACCAAAATAGGTATGGCATAACATGACTGTATGGTGAGCATAACTAACTAGTCATGTCATAATAATGATGACATGTATGTCATGACTGTCATGGTTTACGTGCCATGGTCTTGCTGTTCTTGCGGTGGTTTCGGTCACATGAAATATTGCAAAACTGGTATGATATGACATGAGTGCATGGCGAACATAAGTGATGGGCCCTAACGGGAAAATCGTGACATGCGTGTCATGTAAAAACATGACTGCATGCCCCACTCATGATGCGCTCGCAGACGTTTCGCTAGCTTCACATATACCGAATTAGGTGTTACGTGACGTGAGTGGATTACGAAGGTATATGACTGGTGCAAACATAATTATGACATGCGTGTCATGTAAGAACATGACTATACGCCACACTCATGTTGCGTTCGCGGCCTTTTCGTTAGCTTTACACATACCATGTGACGTAAATAGACGCGAAGGTAAATGACTCGCCCAAACATGATAATCAGGACATGCGTGTCATGTAAAACATGGCTACATGCTACGCTCACAGTGCGTTCGCGGCTGTTTCGCTAGCTTCACATATGCCAAATTTGGTGTTACGTGACGTGAATGGATGACGAATGCATATAAGTGGTACAAACATGATAATCATGACATGTGCGTATAATGTAAGAACATGACTACATACCACGCCTATGATGCACTCGCGGCCGTTTCGTTGGTTTTTATATACCATGCTTGGTATGACGTGACATGAATGGATGACGAAGGTAAATGACTCGCCCAAACATGATAATCATGATATGCGTGTCATGTAAAACATGACTGCATGCTACGCTCAGAGCGCGATCGTGGTCATTTCGCTAGCTTCCGATATACTAAATGTGGTATTACGTTACGTGAATGGACGACGAACACAAATGTGGGATGCAAACATGATAATAATGACATGTAAATCATGTAGGCGTCATAATTTACATGCTTACCACTTCTGGGATTGGTATTGCAAACGTTAGTGCTGCCGTCGTTACGTGACGCTAAACAACATACTTGCATTTTATTTAGATGCGTGAGTGCGCATGACATTTCTACTTTTGTTAACTGTGTACTACGTCCGTCCGCATTGTAACGTTTTGCTAATTTTAAAGTGACATATAAACCTTTCTCATTCGTGCCTCCCATACCATCGATTCCCACTGTACGTGGGATCTGTTATTTTTTTGTTCTTTCTCTTTCCCTTCTCCCCCTAAGACCTTTTTGTCCACAATCCCCTTCCTCCATACAGAGTAGTATGTAGGTGCCTCACATATGCCCACAGAATTCCTTTTTTCCCTTCAAAGATCTCTCTCTCTCTCTCTTTTTTTCTCTCTATCAAATATGGGAAATGTACGGTACCTAGCCTCTCAAGTGCACAACAACGGTTGCTGGAACGTTCAAGGAACAGAACGGTCTGTGAACCCAGCTCAGCCGTAGTTTGGACGCTTGCAGTCTCTGATAGCCGTAAAAGCAGCGAAGGAGCTCTATGTACCATAGAGCTTCTTCAGCAGCCTTCTTACCGAAAACAGCCGCCGATTGGAACCACCTTCCCTCTTCCGTTGTAACAATAACAGACCCTTTGTTATTCAAGACTGCAATTTCTCAGCAATGCTTGTAACTATACGCAGTTTCCATTATCTATGTTTGTCTTGTATGTGCTTGAATTCTTATATATTTTTAGTTGAATTCAGTTGCCTTCCTGATTTGCGCATCTGACACTTGTTTCTTTATTTTGTCTTTCTTTTTCTTGTGTGTTATAAATGTTGTACCCACCCCCTCTGTAATGCCCTACGGGCCCTGAGGGTATTCTAATAAATAATAAATAAATAAATAAATAAATATGTGCATACGGCATTTTACGTTCTGACAGCTCTATGTAGCCTAGTTCCTGCGATATACAGGAAGTGAGTGATGAGCATTTGGGCAATTTGGTGAAACTATGGACGACCTTTGGCGTCTTCGTGGAGGCTAGAGGTCGATTAATATACTGCCCGCATAGCCGTTTATTGAGCCGCTATGGAGCTTTATTACTCGCCAGGAGAGATCGATAAGGAGTCCGTCATTGGGGACGACACTTCTTGTGCCAAAGGCCAAGAGAGCGTCCAGATATCTCAACATTCACGTTTTGCGGCTGGCTGTCGCCTAATTGTAATACTTGAGGGGGAGTCAGTCAGCATTGACGCGGTTGTCTTTTGGTGTTTGGTGCCCTCATCTGCGAAGTCGTAACATGCTGCCGCTAATACATGTCGGGGATTGTGACGATGAAGGATGAGGTGATGGGGATGATTGTTACTGTGATATTGAGGTTGGTTATTTGCAAACGTATTTTACAACACGAGCGTCAGTGCTAGCGGCAGGCGTGGTGCTTCGTCCAAGGGGCAGTCAATATCTTAGACTTCATGTGCCGCAGACAACCTTATATTTTTCAGAGAGCTCTTTAGGCAGCAGTTCACGATTCACGATTTAGGTTTACGTATTTTAGGAACACGCAACTGAAAGCCGCAATGCTTCTCAATCACGCATCCCCGGGTCGCTTGAGTTAAATGTGGCTTTACATTGTGGCGAGCATGTGTATGTGTTCAGATTCTATGATGTACGTGCACATATATACGTGGATATAAATGCGACATTAAATAATACAGTGATACAAAACACTTATGTCTAACAATGACTATGAATCGCAGTTGATATTCGTTTAGTACGTTGTACAAGTATTAACATTAAAGTACGCTTTTCTTATTTGTATCTAAATTCTGGAAAATTAGGAATTGTATCAGTTTGCTGAAACCTATTTCTACCTCTCGTTCGCTCTTATTTTCGTCCACGCGCTTTTTTCTGTTTTTTTTAATGCTATATAGATATACCGAAATGGGTGGGGGGGGGGTATATCGCAATTCTATGATAAAATGCCTTAGAAATGCCTTTTTTTCTGTTAAAGCTACGTAATATTGAAAGTGTGCAGAAC